CATCTTCCAACTCCTTACACTTTCGCTCAGCCGATTTTTTTATATCCTTCTTATCATTTTTAAGTTGGGAGATAGTAAAGAACAACTTGCTAATCTCCTTATCTTTTATGACTATAGATTTTTCTAAAGTTGTAATCTGAGATTTGTATTGCCTCTCTAAGTCAGCAGAGTGAGATTTATGCTGGTCTTCTAGCTGATGCTTAAATGAATATATTTTCTGCTTCATATCTACCATACAATTATTATATTCACTCTCTTTGTGAGACATAAGAGCATCATATTCATCTTTTAGACATTTGCATTCCTCAGCAACCTGAGCCTCAATAGTTTTCTTAATATTATTCTCCCATTGCTATACACGAAGCTCACGTTCTTCTAACTGTTTTTCAAATCCATCTAATCAGGATAATGTACTAGAACCATCAGAAGAGGTATTTGCTTTAATCTTAATTTTCTGGCGATATTTACTCTTATGGTACTTATTAACATTACTAGTAAGTAACTCCTTTATATCTGGACAAATTCCTCTAGCCTGTTCCTCAGATAATGGGTTATTTTTGCGAGTTGTAAAACGTAACCATACATCTTTTTTTAAAGATTGGGGTAATTAGTCAAGCAAACTCTTATAGTGTTTATTGAAATGTGGATGATTGGACATATGATTTAGTACCTTCAGTAAAGTAATATAATCAAAAAAAATAATTCAAAAGTTCAGAAGTTTCAGAAATTTCATATTTTTCCAAAAGTTTGGATATTTTATTTATTTCCAACAATAATTTTCGCCTAAAATTGGCTAAAAATTTGTCGAAGCCTAGTTTTCAGAAAAAATACTTAGAAAATTCCTCCTAAACATTCGCTTTTATTAATAATATAACTTATAAAAATACATGTATAAAATTTCTATTCTATTAATTTTTTTTGGGGTCGAAACTGTTACTGCCATCTTGTCAGAACTATGCTCACTATCTTCGGAATAGGAATCATATAATATTTTATGGATTATATATCTGACGGCTATACCACATTTCTGATAGATTGTGTTCCTATCAGTAATTTTTTATTTTCTACCATAGAAAGCATTTTCTTCAGAAATAATTAGAAAGCTTTTCTTCTGAAGATCTTTGATCAAAGGAGGAATACATGATAAAAAATGTTAAGGAATTCTAGTTATTTCACATAGGTGAAGAAATTGTAGAGCTTTTTTCTACATTCTGATTTGATCTTTTTAAAGATGCATTGTGCACTACTATAGGATTTAAACTGGGATAGTTAGTTTTAATCATTTTATGGATATAGGATAGCAGTTTAGTAATTTATAGTATTTTTACCAATTTTAATGACTTATAGTGATTTATAGCAAGTATATGATAATAAAATATCAGATTCATTTTTATTCGATTTATATAGGGTCATATCTTAGGCTAAGCTAATTTTATATTTACATACAGTTTGTGGATCTCTCGTGATTATCAGGAATTAGCCAAAGGAGTTTCGCATGATGTATAACATAAAAATTTGTATCACATGAGATCTTCTCTAGTTCCCTGCCAGTTCCTCGAGAGTTCCAGACGCTGATGAGTTTCTATAAATCACGAGATGATTGGCTATTTTTTTATATACACGGCATTATACAGAATCACATTTATTTTTTGGGTGCATTATTATACATGATAAAATACTAGGCTTGATATGGATAGGTCCTGGGATCGCAAAACTTTATTATTTAATTTATAATAATCATGCTTTAGCCGTTAAGGCGCTTCGCATAATACTATGTATAAAAAAAGTGCTAAATTTTGAAAACGCGCCATGTGGCTTGATCTCAGAATCCCACTATTATTTGGCTTTAGGTTCGTGTGTTCTTCTTAACCTGAGACGCTACATATCTGATATTATCATCACTTAGATTCGAAATAGATGTTGCTGAAAACGATTTTATTCGTCCGATGAATACCATCAGTTGAATTTTATCATTGGTAATACGAAAAAAAAGATCATAGACCTTCCTTGCTCTGTTCGATTTCTTTCGAATAGCGTTTTTGGTAACCTCTTTGGGAAGCTGATCTTTAACCTCATCGTAAAGCTTCTTTAGGGCTTCATGTTCTTTGTATCCTTCTTTATAATGGACAAGGCGTTTCTCTAGTTCCTCTCCATAGTGGTAATAAGCTATAATAAGTTCATGGCGTGCCTTTTATTTCGCTTTTCAGCATTGGTGATCTTAAAATACAGATCAAAAAAAATTTGGGTACTTCTATCTTCTTGCATTAATTCTCTTTAAAGACCTTTCTTTTCCTTAATTACTGAAATTTGAGTGATATCAGAAGACAACTCCCGGATGAGTCTTTTTAAAATGTTGGAGTCCTCATCTAGATCACGTTTCTTGGATTTCTTACTGGCCGAAGAATCCGTATTCTCATTAGCCCATTTCTTACTCTTACTGTTTGAAGCTAAGTCAGTTTCCTCTGGCAGAGTTGATTCTACTTCCCTATCCTCATTATTCTTCTCATTCATGTCCATTTCTTCTGAAGATAATGACAAAATCAGGAACTAATGCAGGAAAAGAAAGAAGTTTATGATATTTTAGAAAAGTATTCCAATAAAGCAACTTTGATAGAAAGGGCTGAAGAGATAGTCAATAATTTAACTTACATAGATAATTCACTTAATGATTTTGTTAATCTTAATGAAGTGCAATTAGATAATTTTATTAATAATATCACAAACGCTAGTTTAAAAGTGACTAATGATAAAGTGAAAAATCTTCTTATTGAATACCGTAAAGAAAAATTTTGATGAGACAAATGGTTGAATGATAAGTATTCAAATAGTGCAGATACTATTTTTATTAATCTTAGCACTAAGGCACGAGTAGATCTTTATCATCAGCCATACCACACGAGCATTCTAATACACCCCTCTTATTAGGTTTTCTTGCACAAGTCTAATGGATTATATCACTACAAACGTTTAAAATGAGTGACCTAGGTGGATCTTCTGTTAAAATAGGCTTATCACATTCTTGACACGCCTCACAATCCTGGATAGTATCATTGGATTTAATAGATGAAAAGTCTGGTTCTTCACGAAGAATATCTTTGGGGAGATATTTTAGTATACTCAACGCAAGGGATTTAAGGGATCTATCATGCTTCAGTTGTACTTTGTAAATATCACTGCTTTGGATATTGTCAGTTTGATCTTCTGTATCTGATTCCTCTGGCTCCTCCATATTGTTATCAACTGAAGTATTCGGGCTTTCGACTCTAGCGGAGCTCTCTTGGTTTTCCATAGTAATGTTTTTTTCCAAAAAAAAAAGATAATATTTCTAGCTTATTTTATAAGGTTGCAGGAGAAAGATATTGCCAGATTCTCATTAGCAATTATGTATAGCATTTCATCATTCATTAGTCTTTGCAAATCAATAAAAAAAGACTTCATGATTAGTGCCTCCAGCTGATAATCTTTTAGCGATCCCGCGAAATAAGAAATCTAACTATAACTTTTTGATATATGAAAATTAATATGTTGCATAACCTGCCTGCTTGAATATATATGGTTCCTCTGAGACCATCTATCCAATTTAATTAATCCGATTGAAAGATGTGTCTTGATAATTATTTTGCACAAATTCTAACTCTTGTGCTAATCTGTCTAATGTTAATTGTAGTCCTATTATATAAACTTCTTAACGATCTTCAGCTCTAACCCTATTTTGGAATACCATTTTGATATTCTTTTTTACATCATCTATAATATCCTCTATGCTTACTATACCAGATGACATTTTAGTGATTTATTTTATAACTGAATATTTATTATGCTAGAAAAAAATCTAATATAATAATGTAATCTGACTACACATTACTATTTAATTTATGGCTGAAAGCTAGATATATGAGACACACACTCGTTTTGGTATTTCTCTGAGAGCTTGGCTCTCATAGCTCTTTTTTCGGCCTCTTCATGGGAAATACCAGCTTTTACCATATTCTTATAAATCATAATGCGTTAATACCAATATAGTAAACCTGTTACACCATCTGATAATATCCAATGTTTAGTACCTATAGGACAGAGAGCCTTCTTCTCAGATTTGACCAAAGATAATACATAATCTTTTGATCGAATACCTACATTTTTGGCATAGAATACTTTCTTACCAAAGAGACAGTCCCGATATACTTGGGTCATAGGATTGAAAACTTCAGATTGGTCTACTGGATCATCTAGCAAAGTTCCCCTTAAGGATGGGAAGTATGTTTCAGTTGCCATCTCACCCATACCTATTTTACTAACCCCTTTATGTCTAGAATTCGTGGTCTTATCTGCTAAGATATAGTGGTAAGACTTGGCTCGGATGTGAAATGATTCTGTGATTACATTGCCCAAGGTTTCATCTTTAAACTTGCCAATAGTTACATCTCCATTAATGGCAAAGATGTCAGAATACTCAGCCATGTCTTTATAAATGTCTTCAGTTTCGACTAGAAATATAAAGGAGTCAGTATCCATATAGCCGAGCTGGACTTTATCACCATATCGCTCCTTCATATAACTATACCAGAAGCGATACATGTGAAGTTTGCTAAGACGTAAGACAGATGCTCCAACTATGATAGGTTTATTGAGAGTCACGCTAGTCTTTCCCATATGTGCACCTACTAATGTAGGTCCAAGCAGTCTAGCATACTTGAAAAATGGCTTGCGAACTTTATTCAAGAAAGCCTTTTCATCCCGCTTATTACTATTCTTCATAATCTTGACATCCTGGTATTTGCAAACATTTTCCATAGACTTACCATATACAGAATTGTTCATGAGCTTGAAGAAGTCTTTTTCAAAGGCATTCTTAGCATTTTGTCATTTTTCTGTATTGAATGCAATATATAGAGCGAACCAGTTAGTCTGGTCAAAGAAAAGGAACTCTGAAACCTCATCTACAATCATACCTAACTTCACATAGTATTGGAGCTCTTGATAATGGATAACATAATCATTTCTCAGGCCAAGATGAAGGACTAACTTTTCTGTTTTAGAAAAGCGCCCACCATCTAAGTTATTCACAAGCTTTGTATTATATAGACTTAGCTAATTCTTTTTTACAGCGATATTCTCTACTGCTGGAGACTAATCTCTCAAATAATCATGGGTCTTAAGAGGGAAATGAGCTTTAATGTTTAAGAAATATCCACATGAAGCATTTGACTTAATCTTAAGAATCTTTTCGAGATATTTCTTTTGCATAACTGGATTCTTAAGTAAATACTCACGGCTAGCTTTCCATTGATAATTTCCAATAGGTAAGAACTGACTCATAGCCCAGCCATAAAGATTGTTTATATCGACATATAAGATCCATGATGTGGGTTTGGATGGGTTGAATGCTTTCCCCATCTTAGGATTATTAGCCTTAAAATATCGTTGACAGGCCATAGATATTCCACCACGCTTAGCTTTTTCAATGAAATCATGCATTGCCATATCTGTGAATAACTCGATCTTAACTCCAGTCTTCTTGAGCATAGTATTCCAGGATAAAGATGGGGCAGAGACATAGTGACTAGGATCAAGCTCATAATATTTTATGCATGTTTTTCAGAATTGAGTCCAGACATCAGCAAGAGAGAGTACATCGATTTTAAGATAGAGATCATAATATTCACCTAGATTCTTATAACCATATGTTTTCCATACTTTCTGGGCATAGCGGTAGTCATCCTGTGAAATTTTTCCTTTTAGGGTAGAATGAAATTCGTTAATAGGAGGAAGCTCTGTTTCTTTAAATCTATCCTGATAATCAATATAGTCATATGGGTATATCTCCTTACGAATTACTAGAGAAATTTGGTCAGGGGTAAAGTCTTTGAAGTGCTGGCTGGTAATTGGATGGTCGTCACCTAAGTTTTTTGTAAAATTTGCCAAGCTATTGTTCATGAACTGCTGGCTATCAATATATTTAAGCTGACCTACCTTCATGGACTTATATCGCTCAAATGTCTCAGCTATAACCCTGATATGTTATGCATTAGCTGAGCGTCCAACAGATTTACAGACTAAGTGAGAGTCATAGTCCCAAAAGTTATGAAAGACTACTGGGATTGGTGTCTTTCATGGCTCAATCTGAAGTTTGAGATTGCAATCTCTATGTGCAGACTCTCAAAACTTACCTGTGATATAGCAGTGATTCCAAACCTTATTAGCCTTAGCTTTTTCGCTAGCAATTGCCTTGGTTACTTTTTCAATAGTTATTTGAATACCACTATATTCGGTTGACTTTTTATTAAATTTTTCTAGCTTCTCTTTAAGACTAACTATTTTGCTTTCTAATCGCTCAATTTCCTCTGTATCTATATTAAACTTACCTTTACAGATCCAGCAGGTAGTCAATTCAGTAAATTTCTTTTTGTCCTCTTTAGTCTCAATTCGATCAGCTTTGATAGCTAAGACTTCATTGATTTGGACTAGCTCTTGATCAATCCTTCAGACGAATTCCTGTGTAGCATTTTCTCCATAATATAGGAATGGATCCCATACATCTCCAGTATTGATCCAGTGGAATAGGTAGCAGAAACTATTGGCCTTCTGCTCTGCTAGCTTGTGCATGCTTCTACCATAAGCTTGAAATGGCTTCATTATCCCTCCTGAGTTATTCCATTTCTTGTTGTCTGCCTCAAAGTCTGCTATAATAACACATGGGAATTGATCATTCAGCTGTAATTCTTGAACTCTTCGAAATTATTGACCCTTTCACTGGCATTATGATTCTTTGTGGAGCATTTTCGTGTATTCCTGGACACCATTCTATATGTTGGTCTAATGATTTTCAGAAGGAAAACTTTGAAAGCATCCATCACATAGATGTTTCTTTTCTTTATGCACATTATCCCCATATATTAATCTACTGGGATTCTTGATCCAGAGAAAGTGGTTCTTTTGTCCATATTTATCTTCATCATCAGATTTGATAATATCTGTAAGAGCCAATAACTGAATTTTATGCTTTCTTTTAAAGTTTTTACTAGCTATCACGGGTTTTGGAGTGGCTGTTTCTTCATTCCATCCCCAGACATTGATAGAGATATCTGGATTCATCTCCTCAATCTTATTAAATATTCGTGAACAGATTGGAGTAGGCATAGGGATTCCATCTAGCTTGACTATATCTAAGTATGGCTTGAGTTTCTTTGCTCAGAATATTCGTCTAAGATGTTCTGTATCAGGCTGATCCTGATGAGTAAAGTACACTCCCAATGCACCTCAAATACATTCTTCAGATAATTTATTTGTTTTTGGATCGATCAACCCCTTATTATCAGGATTGATGGTAGACTTAGTATTAGTGAGCTTTTTGGAAGTATGTTTGTGAGATCCTCCTAGAGCTCGGCGGAATGTATATGTCTCAATACTTATAGAATTAATATGTTCAAGAATAAAACCTGATTCATTTATCAAATGGTCTGAAATCTTTTTATCAATATGACTAATAGATATGGCTAAATGTTCATCATATCCTTTTCAGAAAGAAGTACGCCTATTTTTCCTCTATGATATGTATTAAAATATTTAGCCTCATAATTTGCTTTATCTGCAGGATCACCTTTTCCATTATATTTGTATTTTACATATGTAGCATTTACGACCAATGCTATTTTTATTTGATCTTTTCTGCGAAGCTCTTCTTGTAAAACACCTGTAATTACCTCATTTGATGCTTCTATAAGTTGAAGCATATAAGGGACATCCGCGTATTTTGTTTATTCGGCCTGCTGTTTATTGAATGCATATTTAGAATTATTGCTAGATAGAACTTTTCCTTCTCATACAGTCATATTCCTGAGATTATTATGTTGTCTAGCAGGAT